TCAAGTCTGGGAGGAGGAGGCTGCAGGGAGGACTTGGATGGGAAGTGTCTGCTCATCTGACCTCTCAAAACCGGGCACTCAGGGGCCACATCCCAGACCGTGGCCACGTGCGGCGGGGAGGCCGTGTGCGTGATTGACTGCCAGACAGGCATCGTGCTCCACAAGTACAAGGCGCCCGGCGAGGTGAGTGCAGGGCAGGGGTGCCCAACTGACTCCTGCATAGCAGCATGGGGATGGGTGCAGGCTTGGCCCCCTGCCCAGTGGCCTTTTTCTTTCATGCTGGGGCTCCCTCCCCCAGGCCCGGACCTGCCTGTGTGTTCACACCAATAGCTCTGCCCCAGTGACTGTTTCCTCTAACCCCCGCCCAGGAGTTCTTTTCTGTGGCCTGGACCACCCTGATGGTGGTCACACAGGCCGGCCACAAGAAGCGCTGGAGTGTGCTGGCAGCCGCAGGCCTGCGGGGCCTGGTCCGGCTGCTGCACGTGCGTGCCGGCTTCTGCTGCGGGGTCATTCGGGCCCACAAGAAGGCCATCGCCACCCTGTGCTTCAGCCCTGCCCATGAGACCCACCTCTTCAGTAAGCCCCTCCCCTTCACCCCTGGGACCCCCAAGCACCCCTGTCCTGCTGCCCCAGTGGCCTCCGCGCTCTCCTCTCTGGGATGGCTGGGAGCTCAGGCGCCTGCCGGGCCCCAGGCTGCACTGCTCCTACTCTAGCTTTGGCAGGAAGCCATGGCACTTCAACCCTGGCTTTATCCACAGCCTGCTCTGTGGCCTTGGAGTTTCCCAACAGTTTGGGCCACTCTGTCCCCTGTCAGTGACCTGGGGGGATGCTCCTGCCCCCGGGTGTGGTGCCCCCTGGCAAGGGAGATGGATGAGCTACAGGAGATGGCTGCTGGAGCCACCGCATCAGGTTACAGCGAGGAGACCGGGATTGTAGGCCCAGGAGGGTTCTGTCTCCTAGCCTCGGCCCTCCCTCCCTGCCTCGGTGACCGCGGGCTCAGCCTGGTATGCAGCCAGCAGGAGGGAGCAAGGCCACCTCAGGGCCACCTCTCCCCTGCCCCACTCCCTCCTCAGCGGCCTCCTATGACAAGCGGATCATCCTCTGGGACATTGGGATGCCCAACCAGGACTACGAATTCCAGGCCAGGTGACGCTTCGGGCGAGGCTGGGGAGTGGCCAGCTGCTGGGGCCGGGACACCTTGATCCAGGGCTGACGCTCTGCTCCCTCTCACCCACCGGCAGCCAGCTGCTCACACTGGACACCACCTCCATCCCTCTGCGCCTCTGCCCTGTCGCCTCCTGCCCGGACGCCCGCCTGCTGGCCGGCTGCGAGGGTGGCTGCTGCTGCTGGGATGTGCGGCTGGACCAGCCCCAGAAGAGGAGGTGAGGCTGGGCAGGGGGCGCCTTGGAAGCCAGGTCTCTGCACAGGGTGACTATTGGCCCAGATGGGCTCAGAAGAGCCTGGGCACACCCGGGCAACCATAAGGGTTGTTTTCAGGGGCCTCTTCACAGAGCTGGCCTGTCCCACCTTCCTGCCAGGCTCGGGAGGAAAGGACTGTGACCCTGCCCTCACCCTGGGTTCCGCTGTGGGACTGGGCCATGATGACCTCCCCTTCACCTGGGGCTTCCACACCATGCTGTGCCCGTGATCCAGCCACTCCTGCCACTCAGCAGCAGCGTGACGGTCCTCTGTGCTAGCGCAATGTTTTTATCTGTAAAGCGGGGCCAATGGCTAGCAGAGGGCAGGGGAGGCCGTGTCTGGGCAGGCAGGCAGGCTTTGGAAATGCCACGTTGAGGCTTTGTGGCTCATCTGTCCCGCCTGGAAAGCCTCTGAGACAGGGCTTGGCAAGGGGTCCCTGTCCTCTTGGGGCCCCCAACCTACTGGGGAAGACAGACGCTAAGCAAAGGTGGCCCGTCAAAATCCCACAGTGTGATGCCAGCTACGAAGGAGAGGGAAAAAGAGTAACGGGCAGGGGGACACTAGCGTGGGGGCCTCAGGGGACTCTGCTGAGGTGACCAGCAGCAGATGGATATTCTGGGGCTCATGCTTTCCCCCCTGGGAGCCCGGCAAGGGAGTCAGCAGGCAGAGGGCAGGAAGGTGCTCGCATGGAGGGAACGGTATATGCAAAGATCAGTGGCAGGTCAGCTGGCTGGTCTGCTTGGCCATGTGGCCACAGCTGAGTGGACTCAGCCCACAGCGAGGTGGCAAGGGTGCCTGGGCAGGGCACGCCAGGCTTTGTCAGCCACAGTAAGCTTTGCATTTCTATTTTTTATTTACTTTTTAGTTGAGATGGAGTCTCCCTCTTGTCACCCAGGCTGGAGTACAGTGGTTCGATCTTGGCTCACTGCAACCTCCACTGCCAGGGTCCAAGCGATCCTCCTGCCTCAGCCTCCCAAGTAGCTGGGATTACAGGTGCACGCCACCAGGCCTGACGATTTTTTTTTTTTTTTTTTTTTTAGACAGAGACGGAGTTTCACCGAGTTAGCCAGGATAGTCTCTATCTCCTGACCTAGTGATCTACCAGGCTGAACTGAGATCTAATGAGAAAGCATTCCTGCAGAAGAAAGGAAATGCTCTCAAGATATGCACTGCCTCAGTGTTTTTTTTTTTTTTTTT